GGAGGAGCTGCTGGGCCATTTCCAGGTTTCTTCACTGTTCTCACCGCAGCCACACTGGATAAAGGTACCTCCTCTTGTCAGTGTTTCTCCTCCACCAGAAGAATACAAAACAGAGGGCTGATTTTTAGCCCTTGCTTTTGTCCCCATCATGCTTTGTAAATGCCAAACCACTGATCCCCGGCGTCCACTTGAGCACTCCCATCTCCATGAGCATTGGTAAAGCAAAAAATAGAGAATGAAACAAAGAAAGAAAAATCAATCTGACTTATATAGATGTGTTTGTTGGCTTTGGACTGTCTTTCATCRGGCAACATTCAAATACTTTGCTATCTTCAAACAGATCCTATGATTCCTAATAAATCAAATGAAAATCTCAAACAGAAAGAAGACTGAGAAGTTTTTCTTCTTTGACTTTGTTCTCACTGGAAAACAGATTGTCAGTATTGCTCCAGCTTTCTCTTTTTTTTYCCTTTCTTCCTCTCTTCCTTTCTTCCTTCCTCTTTTATCCCAGACACCATCAGTATCAGAAAAGCTGCCCACTGGACTGATGCATCTTCAAGCTGCTGTTCTCTTCCTGGAGAGTGAATCAGGGCTGTCCTGTCACAGAACAGATCACTCCCCATGGGCTGCCTCTTTCTGCAAATACTGAAAGGGGAAGAAAAGGAGGGGGCAAGAAGTTCTAACTGCATTTTTTTTGTGTTGGTTATAATTTTTGGGGTTTTTTTTCTTTTTTTTTTCCTTTTTTTTAATTTTTTTTCTCATGGGTTACCACATCACAGTGTGTTTGATTTCTGTGTGAAACTGAAGTGGCCAGCACAGCACATGGGTTGGATGGGATCCTCTGGCCAAGCCCAAGGTGCAGAKGAGGCAGCTCCAGCAGCAGGGCCACCTTGGGGACGATGGGGTGACAGCCAGGRAAGCTGGAGAAGCTCTTCAACATCTAGATCCTGCAGAACTGTCACTCAGAAGGGAAGTGAAACCTGGTGAACGTGGTTTGGGACACAAAGGAAAGAGATGAAAGCTCAAACGGTGTTCAAGAACAAATTATTTTGTGTCTCTGAACTTATCACTGTTTTTGTCTTGCTGAGCCATAACCAGCTGATGATCCAAGAGATTCCCAATGTCTCAGGGCACTTTCTGCCTCTTCTCTGCCTTCAGGAGGGGCTGGACAGTGAAATGAGTGAGTGTTGGCTCTGCACCTCCCAGCAGCAGGCAGTGCACACAACCCAGACTGGATTCCATGCAATATCTTAACTRTTAGATGGTTATTTTTCATGTATATAAACCATGTTAAGCTGTGTGCTTGCATGCCTGTGGATCCATGCAGTGATGCTTTAATGTAATTTATTTTTGACACCTATTTTTTGTCATTATATTATAATGTCATCTATTTTTTTTCATCATTATTTCTTCAATTGTTTAATTGCTTGCAAATGTAGAGGTACCATAGAACAGTTACAGAAACCCAGAGCACTGTGTGTCCTGCAAACCTTTTAAATATGTTGTAATACAAATCAGAGCACCTTGTTTTTTGGGATCAAAAGTGAGGGTGGTGCTGGGGAAAAGGGCCAGAAAGCTTCAAACTGATATTTTTCCTTTGCTTGTTGGTTTCATGAATGCTGTCCCCAAAATACTTTTTTTCCTCTGGTGTTGTTTTTGAGTGTCATAAAATCACATGGTGAGGGAGTATAATTGTAATTTATCTGTCACACTTCTTAACCTGTAGGAATGTCCTTAGCTGTTAGATTAATTCATCATGAACAAGTGACAGCTTTGAATGTGAGGATAAAGGATTTGCAGCACCAGAAAACCAGAATTAAAAGATTGAGCAGGGCTACACAAACCATTATTTCCCAAATTGAGTACCTGTGCTATTGATACCCACAGCACTTGCTGAAAGAAAGAGCCAGGTGTTTCCTTTATGAGACTTTTCTAAAGAAGTCAGATTTAGACATTGAATGTATTTGATTTTATCTTGGGATTTTATCTGGATTTTTTAACACTGTAAGAGAATGAACAGCCTAGGAATGTGTAAGTCTTTGACCTGTCAAGATAAATTTAGTGAATGTGGTTCTGAAAGGCGAGCAGTGATCAGTTTTGCAGGCTTTGTCATTGAGTTATTCTTCCTTACAAGCAGGAAGATGAAAACAGTGATAGCAGATATGACTCAAGGCAAGTGAGGGCTGCAAAATTAGATCCTTGGCTTTATGGAGACAGTTGTATAAGAATGAAATCACCAGGGGTATAAATTCAATGACTTCATATTAAGACACATTAATCCTGAGTTTAACATGGCCTTAATTTACTGCAATTTAATCCTCCTCATTTTCACTTTCTGCTGGGAACATGTACTATGAAACATGAAAATTGTCATGATAGCACAGTGCTTTGACACTGTGTTTCCAATAAGCTTGTCAAATGTAAAACTTAATTCTGCAACATTAATTTCTCCCTAATCTCAGAGGCTGCTGTTTTGAAGTGCATTTTGGAATACTCTAATATCATAGCATGAAATAGAGTGAACTGGAGTCCTGTTTGGTGGGGGGCTTTTGCTCTGGAAAGGAGACGCTCAGAACAATGCTTTTTTTGGGTAACAAAATATATAAATGTGCCTTTGTTAGGGCCTGGAAGTTAGAGTCAGTAAGATGGAGGTAACTAAAATATGCATAACTTACAGACAATCTTTGTTTGCTGTAACCTGATACCCTTTGACCTGTCCACAAAATGCTTAGTTTTGCTACAGTAAGTATCAAATGTTGGAATACTAAATTCTTTGCAGGCAGAAATAATCCAAATTTCACCTAGTGTGGAGCAGCAGAAAATATTTGGACTTAACCCTTGCCAAACTCCCATCCAGACCATTTCAGTATCTGGTTTTCTATAATCCCAGTTTTCCTCTCTGCCTTTTTATTAGTGTTATCCCTTGGCTTACAGTCAAAATATGTCACCCAAGCAATGTGACCAATACCCTTTCCAAAAAGTAAACATCTTGTCCAGGATTGACCCAGAAAGGACCCCAGTTTCACACCAAGGGCTTAGCAGACCTTGATCCAGGTGGGTATGATAGTCTCTCTTATTCTTTTACTAAATAAATTAATTTTCTTTTGACAGGTCAAGAGCATCTAATATTAATTATTCATTCTGTGAAGCCTCGACATACCTCTTTATCTGTACATCCCACTTTAAAAGGATGTAACCTTTCATCTTCCTAGTAATAATCCTGTTTCTACTCTTCAGCTGAGACCCTTTGTTTGGCCACCAYGGTGGCTGACTGGACGAGACCTTTGAATTTACAACTTTTGGTGTTCAGCCTTACCCTGGAAAAGTAAGGTACAAAAAGGAAGAAAAAGCTGATGGAGGTAAAAGACAAATCCACAGGTCGATGTTACGTGACGAACAGAGTGAACAAAATCGAGTCAAAAGCTTTGGTTTGCACGGATGCTGAAGAAGCCTTGGCACACAGCAATCTGGACGAGTCCAGGTCTTTTCACCTCGATCCTGACACGATGAAGTTGTCAGAGAACAAAGGCCCCTGGGAGGGGACAGGTGACACACCTCGAATGATACACAATGATCACATGTCCAGTGTAAGAAACTTTCAGAATTGACGCAGTTTGGGCAATGGTGGTGTCATAAACAACATTAAAAAAAAAAACAAAACCAACTTTCAGCACGATTTAGCTAACAATAAGCATCTTACATGACAGTGGCAAAACAGATTTAGACAACTTTGAGCTTTAGAAAATTTCTGCCACAACTGATTTGGATTATGCAGTGATCTTCCAAACTTCCATGCTTCTTCCACACAGTTATTATTAAAATTGGTGGAATTTATCCCTATGTGAAGATGTATTAAACACACACAGGAGAAAACAAAAAAGGAAAAGAGAATGAAAGAACAAGTATTTTAYACAGAATGATCAAAAATCATAGACTTTAAAGCCCTTCTGCAGAATACTCTCAGAAAGTAAGGAACTGTGCCTCCAGTCCACACCCTTGAATAATTTCTCAAACATCCCCACACTCTAAATATTTATTTTAATTTATTAAAAGTATGTTTGTCAGTATAGTCCTCAGGGGTACAGCTGATGCCCCTTACCAGCATTTCCACCAACATCCTGGATTGCACATTCCATAGAAGAGCATAAAGTGCTATAGCATTGGGGTTTTTTTGATTTTATTTGGAACTCCTTCACCCTTTCTACCATTATTTCCACTACTGTTTTTACCTCATAGCTCCTATATTCTTGTAATGGCACATGAGGAGGTGCTTAAAGGTCTTCTTGAAAGTGGCATTGCAGAGGGCGTAGCAGGCGGGGTTGATGGTGCTGTTGATGTAACAGAGCCAATATCCTATGGTCCACACCGTGTTGGGGATGCAGGATGTGCAGAAGCTGTTGATGAGCACCATCACATTGTACGGGGTCCAGGTGATGATGAAGGCCAGCAGGATGGCCAAAATCGTCCTCGTCACTTTTTTCTCTCTGGAGGGGGGCGGTTTCTTTTTGGCGGGCTGCTTTGTCATCTTGACGATCTTCCGGGCGACGCTGTTCTGCTTCTCCTCCCCGTTTGTGCCCACGATCTCCACGGTGGTGTTGGTAGGGGCACAGCAGTCCCCCTTTTGGGACTTGGTGACTATCCTGATGCAYGTCAGCTTGGAGTTCTCTGCTTTGATTTGGTCTTGGGAGGCRGAAGCCTGTCTGGCATCTTTGGTGGCTTCGTCCTCTTTCAAGTTGGGAGCGACCACGCTGACGGAGGTGGAGTCGTTGGAGCTCTCCTTCTCCCCCTGAACGCTGTTATCAGCCACAGTCTCTCCGCTGGTTTTTCCATTCTGAATTTTGCTGTGCTCCAGCCCTTCTCCGCTGCTCGGGATGTTGTTGTTGTTGGGTTTCACTATTTTACCTTGCACGAGGCTGGGGGAAACYGTTTCTTGGTTTTGGGCGGCTTCCTTTTTCCCTTTCTTTATCCGACTCTTACTGGCTCGGGAGATCTGCCAGTAAAGCACAGTCATGATGATAACGGGCAAATAGAAGGCTGCGATGGCAGTGCCAAAAGTGACGGCAGGGTTGGAAAAAAACTGGATGTAGCAATCCCCATCGGGGACAGTCCTTCCTCCCACGATGAAYTGCCAGAAGAGGATGGCGGGGGCCCAGAGGATGAAGGACAGCACCCAGGCCGCTGCGATCATCATGCCTGCCATCTTGGTGGTGCGCTTCACCGGGTACGTCAGCGGCTTGGTGACACAAAAATATCTGTCAAAGCTGATGATRAGCAGGTTCATGACGGAGGCGTTGCTGACCACGTAGTCCAGAGCCAGCCAGAGGTCGCACACCACGGGCCCCAAGGGCCAGTAGCCAATCACAGTGTAGAGGGTGTAGAGGTTCATGGAGAAGATGCCGATGATCAGGTCAGCGCAGGCCAGGCTGAAYAGGAAATAGTTGTTGACAGTCTGCAGGTGCCTGTTGACTTTGATGGACACCATCACCAGGATGTTGCCRATGATGGTGACCAGGCTGAGGGACCCTGCCACCAGCACGATGAACACCACCTCCACYGTTTTGTAGGGGCTCTCCAAAGCCATCACATTTTCGGTGGAGGAGTTGATGTACGTTGAGTTATTCATTTCGTTTCTGGTGACGAGATACCCAGTTACAGCTTAAGCCTGCAGAGGAAAGAAAAGGAAASAGATATCATCAGGAAGTTTTTTCTCTCTGCCTTTAAGGAATGGATCCCAAAAAGAGTTTGGCAAGAGTTTAAGGGCAGGAGATGCATTCAGGAAAAAACAGTCAATTTTGGCTGAAGCAAACATCACACAGAATAACAGAACAGTAACCTAGCTCTAAATATGTGAGAAAGGCTAACATCTGGATCCAAAACTACATTTTTAAGTTCTCAGATTCTCTTTTTTCTCTTTGTTGTTTTTTAAAAAAACTAATGTTGACTTGAATGTTTTGGAACTGAATCTGCATATTGTTTTCTTTCTTGCTAACAAAATAGATGTTTCATTTCAAACCCTATTCCACATAAAAAAAGTCTAGTCCTGGGGGTGTAAATATAACCCACAGTGAAGCTGTGATCTACTGAGAGGCAGATCACATGAAGGAGACCTCTGTTTCCACCTTTCTTTCTTGTTCCACCTGGGCATACTTCTGTGAGATTCATGGAATAGGTTTTTATCATATTTTTTCCTAATTTTCTTATCCTGCAGTTCCTTTTTTAGTCAACACATACAAATATTTTAGCTCTGCATCAAACTAATTAGTCTGTCAATAAACAAAAAATGGTGGGTCTGTTGAAGTTAACAGAGTTTGTAAATTCATCTCAGTTGAATATTTGGCTATCTAGTTAGATACATATATTTTTTATTTCTGTCTTTTCAATTTCAATAAGATTAAAGTTATTTCTTACTTACTTTTGAGTATTTGTACCKGGATAAGGAATTGCTGTTTCTTTGGGTTGTTTTTTAAACATGAAGGGATTATCTTTTGATGCTTGCTTGATCACACTTTCCCCACTGTTTTCCAAATCCCAATATTTTTGTTCTGTATCGCATCAAACCACAACAAAAGGTCTGAAAATGGATAGCAGGGTAACGCAAAATAAATAAACTGATAAACACCAGCTCTGTTTACACCTCACAATTCCTTCTGTGCCCTGCATATCCTAGTGACATTGCTCAATAAATAGTAATTAAATTGCTGGCGATACACATTTGATAGAAGGCTAAGAAAACAGCCTCTGCTTTTGCCTTCAGGACATGTTCTCTCCTTCTGTGCATCCCCTGGAAGTCAATAGAATGCACTGGAATTGTACAACCCGTCTGAGTGCTCATTATTTATGAGCTGTGCTCAAGGGCTTATTGAAGCATGAAGGCCAGATGTGACAGGGAAGTTCAGGGGTTTTTTTAAATGACAATATTCTCTTTTTTTTTTTTTTTTTTTTTTTTTTTTTCTCTCCACACCTGAGGCATCACTGCCTTAAAGAGTTTCTAGGCATGGTGGTGCAATCAAAGGAAGGCAAAAAAACTGTTTCGTATGGAACTGTATGGTTCCTCTATACACCAGGGATTAAAGAATTCTCCTCTGTTCCCTCTGACCAACCTGCTGATGCACAGACATATGCTGGCCACGCCACTTAAAAAGAGCAATGCATTTTTACTGTCATTTCAGAGCTGTGCTTTTCTTGGCTTTTTCTTTCTTTCTTTTTTTTTTTTTTTTTTTCAGATGCAAAAGAAAGAAGACAATGCAGAATGTCAGCACAGCAGTAAAACCCCTTCTGACCTCAGAAAAATAAGCAAGTCTGTCTCCATGGAAAAGTCAAGATTCTAAACGGGGGTAAAGGTTTTCTGTCTCWGGCAAACTTGTAATCTTGCAATTTATACTCAAAGAAATACAACTGKCAGAGGGTGGGGCTCATGCATTTACCTTTGCTTTCAAAAACAGCTCAATTTTTTTGCCAATTCCATGTTGAAGTCAATACATGAATAAATAGAGAAACATAAGGCTAGACAGATTCTTTTYCCCTGCCATCTATTCAGAGTTACATCCCTAAAATATCAGGTTCAGGTTCAAGATAAAAAACAAGAAAGAGTAATACTTTAGTAAAGTGTGTGCTTTGTACAGTAAAAATAGGCTGAGTGGAATGTAGCAGAATTTCTACTCTGTGCAAAAACATCAACAGGACATCTTTAATATACAGGACTGTCATTTCAGCAATTCACAGTGTATTTTTTTTCCAGACTTTCACAGTTGAACAGCTGGTTATCCAGTTAGATGTGTAAGACATCAATTTTTTTGACAAGTTAAGAACTTCTCCCAGGCAGAGTTGTTTATGATCTTTCTTAACAGAATSCATTTTCAAATAAAAGATAACATCACACATAGAGATGGATTGATTTTTAAAAAAAATTTCAGCTGGAGAGGGTTTGTGATCCAGGGCTCTGCAGCAACCTCTGGTGACAGAAAGTGAGTGGGAGAACAAAATGGAAATGAGTGAGAGTGGGTCAGAGCCAAAAAAATTGTGCTTTATGATATGAAAACAAGTGTTTCTCTATAATATATTCTTGAAWAACTATTCAGAAGTTCTGTTTGCATTCCACTGAAGAACAAAATTAATTCAAAAAACTTGAATCTTGTGAAACCAGATTACCATCTYCCACTAACTTTATTCCTAAGTGCTTTCAGATGAAATTTTTACCCACTTTCACTGGAAGTATTTGTAATTCTGTAAAAATTCCCCTGATTTTTTTCTTTTTATGGGAATCTGTAGGATGCAAATAGATGAATGAGAGCTAAAAGAGGATTTTACTTACTAGGAATAAAATTTCACTGTGTTAATGTGAGTGGAAGCAAAGCAAAGGAATCCCTTTCCCAGAGATCTCTGKGCAAAACTTTCCTGCTGTAAGGAGGCTGAGAGCTCTGGACTGCAAATTACGTGTGTTTTCTGAGGTGTGGGGAAACGTCTGCTGAAGTTTTGTCAGACTCCTATAAAAAATTCCTTTGCTTGTATCAGTGATTGTGAAGTGAAACACTTTGTGCTGATGGGAGGGCTTAGGGCTGGAGAGAAACATCTGAGTTCAGCTGATGGATATTGATACTGCTGAGAGTAAAAAATTACACAAACAGARAGGGGTGTGCACAGCACCTAACCCAAGACCCCTGCAATCTTCCAGCTCCAGGAGAGTTGGAATCAGGTGCATGGAGAGGTTTTCTATTTCTCATTGTGCCTCGGTGCGGGACTGACCGCGGGCTGCTTTTGTTTTTGTCTTGCCACGTGTCTCCCTCTGGAGAGGCACTTGTTGGGAGAACAGATGTTATTTCTCAGGCAGACCTACGGGACAGAGGCATTTTAAGGTAATGTGACCTCCTGTGTGAGAAACACCAGATCTTTCTGTGGAACAAACAGAGCTCTCCGCCGCGAGCCCGTGGGTGTTTGTGCGAGTCGCGCAATCTGGCACTGACTCCCAAGGGCTCCCATCATTTATCCTTTTCTCCTAAGTGCATTCTTGCTGAACAGAGAATACCCAGAAAAGGCAAGGAATGTCTCTTGTGGCCTGAAAACGAATCAAGTTAATTTTCTGAAGTGTATTTCAAAATATATATGACTTTGCRGAGTGGAAATGCGACGACCGCTAAGTGGAAAACGTTCAAAGCCAAGAAATCCACATATAAAATAATTCATTGTTTGATATTTGATGTGTGCTTGGGAAACATTCCCAGTGCAGYAGATCCTCCCTCTAAAGAACTCACAGTATTGAAAATTATTCTGTTCTTTTGACTGGGCAACAGTTTAGGGCAGAACTAGGGAATACTTAAGCATTGCATCCTGCTGAGTTGTGCTTTGCACTTACCCTGACAGGAGCACATCCATTTGGTGCAGGCCAATCTTGTAGCAAACATTGTAATTTTAAATTTAAAATATCTTTATTATCTTTATTATACACATTTTTATCATATATATAATGCATATTTTTATTATTATTATATATATATATATAATATATATATTTATTATATATTTATATCCTCCAACATCTGTCACGAAACAGGCTATAGAAAAGTTTGGTATATTGAAAAAAATGGTTGATGCATCATGCCTGTCAAAGTTTGTTAGACAAATCCCACTTTTGTATTGTGCATACTGACAAGTTAAATTTGGTAAGGATTCCATGTCTTCTTTGAGTTCTCTGAAACCATATAAAGGTTGAGACATGAAAGAGGCGACAAATGATCTGCACCTGAAAGTTATATTTGTGGTTTAAACAGGATTACCCAAGAATCCATGTGCATTGTTATTCTGAGTGCATTTCAGCATCTAACTCTCAAGCAGAAGGAAATATAGTTTTTAAACTTTCTTTTTTTTTGTTCTAGTTCCTTCTCAGCCCAAATCTATGTAAAATGGATTTGATGTTTGCTGCAGCAATAATGGAATTTCTTTTTTCCTTAACTCATTTTTATCCTGAGCTGTGTTGGTTTTGATTTTAAATTTCTTCCTGGTATCATTTTAAGCTCACAGTGTGAAAACAAAAAGAGAGAAACAAAATCTCTATCTCTGTGATAAATGTCCTAGGTCTGTTAGACAGAATTTATTGCTGAGTTTAAGAGACAATACAGAGTAGTCTGGACTTTTGGTAAAAAACAATTTTCAGAAAATACCCAAACACCTGAAAAGTAAAATCTTCACYGCATGGATTATTTTCTGTAATCCTTGTGAAACTAGAAACATCTTTGACAAGTATTACTGTCTTGGTGTGGTCCATTTAAAAAAAAAAAAATCATATACTTTTGTTATCCCAATCAACACATGACCTACAAAAAAGATCTGTGAGCCTGCCTGGATCTACTTATCCTCATCTCATGGGGAAGAAGACCTAAGGGAAAAATGAAAAAAAATCTGCACATATCTTGAAACAACTAGATCAGAGTCACAGACCATGAAAAAAACAAACCAACACTGTGCCACTAACAACAGCTGAAACAAGGCAGAAAAAAAAAAAAAACAAACAAACCAACACTGTGCCACTAACAACAGCTGAAACAAGGCAGAAATGAAAATATTCCCCCAAAAGCAGCAGGAGTACATGAGTAGGTGTCAATGCTGACACCAAAACTTCTGCCTCAGGGCACKTTGGGGTCTGAGGATTTGTACAGATGTTAA